TATTTCGTCCGCGAACAGCCGCGCTTCTGAGTCAGCGGGGCGCCTCTAAAGATAGAGGGAGTTCGCTTCTCCCACCAAAAGTTTTACCCGAGAGGGGTGGGGGTGGGGGGAACAGCGCACAGGCAGGGAATGTGGGCAAAGCGGGAGGGAGGAACGTGAGAAACGCTCGGAAACAGCACGCGCCGTCCGTACAGTACATACAGTACAGTACCCACAATACATTAAGAGGACAGAACGGGACAAAATTATGGGCGGTCTGGTTAAGAAAAGTAACAAAACTTTTATTTTTCTGGCCAGTGGCCTCAACAATAAGGAATCGTCAGAAAAAAAAAAATTCTGACGGTTATTGCAATTTACATTCAGGCACTTGCAATAGAAACTTAAGAATAACGAGTAATTAAAACATGAACTAAAATTACAGGTTTAGCATCTGCATGCAACACAAGTCAGCATCTCACTGAAAATCGTTTAAAACCAAGGACATACATTTAAGATAAAAATTGTGTGGTCCAGCCGGAGATGCTTCAAAACCAGGCTAGTTAAATAGACTTCCTGATCTTTACAACTAAGAATACTGAGTCACCATAATTCTTTTTTACTGGAACTGAAAGCATTGGCAAGATTAAAATGCTAGAATACTACTGAATGAAAGAGGCTCTCTAGTTACTACTAGACAGATCACATTAGAAAAAATATTAAACAATGTTTTACAGGGCTTCAACCCAAATTACTGACTAATAACACTACACACTACATAATCTGAGAGGTATGAAGTTTTTCCAGGTACAATGATTGAGGTAGACATACAAGACTTAAATATAAACTAAACACAACCACTTGCTGACTAGGGGCTTTAAAATGTATCATGCCTTCCTCTGCAAAAACACTTTTCAATGCCATATTACACAGAGCAACAACACCATCGTCACGGAAAGAAATGATAAATTTAAAAGTCCCAAAACTTAAACGTAATTTAGTACAAACAAAAATACTGATGCCTGGTCTGGTAACAAGACTTAAGTAGGTATTATAAAACCAACACCCCAGAAGAACAAATATTTGCATGGGCTACTTTTTATTCTTCAAGTCCTCAAACTCACTTCCACTATCTTCATCAGACAAGAGAACCATTTCCGTTTCATCTTCAGACGTTGTTCCAGTGTCCCAATCACTTTCTTCTTCTTCTTCACTGGTTTCAACTTTCTTTTTCTTCCCCCCACCCTGCTTTCCCTTTCTTCCCTTTGGTCCCTCCTTTCCCCCCAAGGATTTCGTTTGGTTCTTATTGGCCTTGGTAGTTGAAGTTCTTCTTTGAGTCTTCTTATTTTTGATATTTGCCATCAATTTGGGAAAGATGGGGGGAAGTGGTGCGTTCTCAGCCTGAATACGAGATGCTTTTAATGCATCAGCATTAACAAGGGACTGGCTACATCCAGCCTCCCCTGCTCCCTCCTCTTTGAAATCATAACGGTACTTTAGATGTTCTCTAATCAATAAACCTTTGATCAGTCTCCTCCAATTGCCATATACTCGCTTTTCATGTTTTTCTTCACGGCGTTTGGCAGATTCATCAATTTCCTTTAAAAAAAAAAAAAAAAATTACGTATAATAGTATAAAAAGACAAAAAACAGAATAGCTCCACACTGATTCTCAGTGCTGTATGGTAGGCCTGTACCTTATTCCACGCATCCATCAGCACATCAACAAACTCTTCACATACAACAAAACCATCATAGGTCGGGTGGCAACCACCTGAATGATAATCGAAGCCAACAACTGCAGGAGCACAATCAATGCGAAGTTTCTTCGCAACTCTGCTCAGGAAGGGAACTGGAATTTTAAAACCACAATGACACAAAGCAATTGTCAACAAGTTCTAAGAAGAATATCAATGAACACCACTGCACCTTGCAAATGTACAGTTCCTTTGGGCAGCATAGTTGGTTTGAACAGCTCTACATTTCCATAAGCATTCCTGGGAACTTTTCCATCTTTTGCTGGGGGAGGGACATAATCTTCAACTTGCCATGGACCAAACACTTCAAGAGGTAAATCAGTGATCACTTTCCCAGAGAGCTGAAATAAAACACAAGGGTCAATTTTAAATACAAGTTAAATGTAGTACTGCCTATCAAAATTTCAACTCATTGCCATTACCCTATCCCATTTCGGCCGAGCTTTTACTATTTTATAGGGCTGTTGCCCAAGACGGACCACTTTAGCATCTTTCATCCAAATCTCTCGAGAATGCAAAGTGTACACATTCTGCCTGGCATAAACAGGTTCACCACGGACAAAACCTAGACTTGGAGAGTCTGCAGGGTAAATCGCCTCAAATTTGAGGAGATGGCGTTTTAAAACATAAAGTGGATGGTTCTTGCACCTGTTTCATAAATTAAATTAAATTAAATTAAACAAGAGGATAAAAATTGCATGGTCGTTTACTCTTTACTGAAGACTGGCATCACCCAACTTACTCTCCAACTGTTTTTGGCATTGGTCTATCCAGTTCTACAAGATTCATTTCACTATCTTCTGCTGCTTCCTGACGAGAATGTTTGGGTCTGAAAGGCTTCAAAGTTTTGTCCCACCACTCAACTGACACTCTTTGCTTTACAGTCACTTGAGAATATTTAGGGGAATAACGTTTAGTGACATCTTTCAATGTACCATCAGCATTAAATGCAATTACATAGCATACTGGTTGACTGGCCTTCAACTAGAAAACAGACAATAAAATTAAATAGATATTCAGATGTAGAAAGAGCTGATCAAAATGCTGTTCCATTACCAGTATTTGCTTTGTGGAATCAATTTTTTTGGACGGGACGTCAACACAAGTCCATCGATCTTCATCATTTAGATAGACTTCCACCCAGTAATCAGATCCTGAATTCATTGACTTACGATTTTCTGAGTTATCATCTGAGGATAGAACTTTCTTTCCCGATCCTTTGGTAAAAAGATAGGATTAGATAAATATGTGCTACAACTTGATTAAAAATTGTTAACATATCCGAAGAGTTGAACTTATGCAAACCTTTTGATGGCCTTCCCCTGGATGGCTGCTTTTTAGCTGGTGATTTGTTAGTTTTAGAAGTTTGTTTGGACTTGGACTTTTCTTCAAAATCACTGTCACTGTCAGACTCTTGAGATCTTGACCTACGGGAACCACTTGGTTTTGTAGCTGGTGATTTGTTAGTTTTAGAAGTTTGTTTGGACTTGGGCTTTTTTTCAAAATCACTGTCACTGTCAGACTCTTGAGATATTGACCTGCGGGAACCACTCGGTTTTGAAGAGGTTGATGGTTTGCTTGTACCAGCCAAAGAAAACCTCTTAACTTTAAAATCTGATTCACTCTCTGAAGTCTTGGATAACTTTTCCGCAGCCTGAGAGGGTCCAGGACTGACAGACTTCTTAGAAATAGACCTCTTACTTGGGGGTACACGTTTAGCAGCAGCTTCCTTCAAACGTTGTGATGAATCTTGATCAAGTTTTTGCTTTTTACCAGGGCTAAGAATTGGTCCTGGATCATCAGGGTCACTTTCACTTTCAGAATCAGTTTTCTCTTTGTATTTTTTCTCTGACGCTTTTCTTCTAAGACCCCGAGTTTTGACAGGTGATCTTGCTGCAGAGGACTCAGACTTGCGTTTGTTACTGCTTTCTTTCTTGGGACCATCATTATTCTGTGAGATGGATTCAGATGAAGCTGGTGCAGATTTTCTAAAATATTTTGAGCTTTTACCATCATTATTAGGAGCTGACTTGCACTTAATGGTTGAATGTGCTGTTTTACTAGTCCCTGGTGTTTGAGGTGACGACTGTTTTTCTGATACTTCATCGTCCTCTTCATTTTTTTTCTTAGATGGCTTCCCTCTTTTACCATTGGTACTGATTGCAAGAAGTTCATTACTTTGCGGTTTCAAGGGCATGGGTTGGAATGAGACAATGAGTCTGCATTCCATCCCAACTGCACGTAGGATTGCAATAAACATAAATATCAATGTTGTTGTTGTTGTTGTTGAATGAGACAATGAGTCTGCATTCCATCCCAACTGCACGTAGGATTGCAATAAACATAAATATCAATTCTCTGGTTGATTTAGCATATTTACGAGAGAAGTGCTGTGCAAGAATTGCCCCCAATGGGCGTGACTGACTACTTTCAAGAGTTTCAGGGAAGCCCTCTGAGCACTCAAAGTCTTTTGCAAACCATTTTAAGAGCAGATCAACATACTTTCGTCCTGGTTTCTTGGGAAGGACAGTTAAGTCAGTGGGCACAAGAGAGAGTGCAATTGCTTGGACACCATCATTATTGATGACATTATTGAGGTACCTCCCATGTGCTACCCACAGCAGCAGACTTGTCTTATGGCACAGTAACTGCAGCTCCCTGCGGACCCGGTTAAATGCTCGGTTCATTTCTGCTTGCATGCAAGCCTGTTGATCACGCTGCTTCTTACGTTTCCAACTGAACTCAGGCATGTCCAATGTAATTTGAACACCCTCTTTAGGAATTTCATGCTTCTTTTGGTCGGCTTGGTCGACTTCTTCCCAATCTTCACTCTCAGAATCAGATGGAAGGGGAGACTTCATATCCATCTTTAAACCCTCTCCAAGGGCAAGCAGCTGAGCTATGTCCATAGTGTCCAGGGATTCCGGCACCTCCTTCTTGATGGGAGAATTTCTAATTTTGTCCTCTTTCTTAGTCTTCTGTGTTGTAGAGCTCTTGGATGAAGCACTTGCCCTGCTCTTTTTATCCTCTTTTAACTTGCTTGAAGACTGCCGAGTGGTTTGTTTTTTGTCAGAGACAGACTTACTACTTTCAGGAAATTCAGTCTTCATTGTTTTATCGGCACTTGTCTTCCTAGAGGTTCTAGTGACTCTCTCTACTTTCTTGGTATTTTTCTCAGACAATACTTTTTTTCCCTCAGGTTCACTTTTTGTCAGAGACATTTTTTCGTTGTTTTCTGACTTGATCTTTTCCAGAGAAAGCTTTCCATTGACAGATTTATCAGATTTAGAAGAACTAACTTTTGATAGATCATTATGATTTGCTGCTTTTAGGGTATCCTTTCCAAAGCTTGGGCTTTCTTTCTTGACTAAAGTGTCAGAGGAATTGGGTGCTGAATCAACCCCAACTTCTTCAAAGTCAGAGTTATCTGAATCAGAATCACTTAGCCTTGACACTCCTGTCAAAATAGTACTTTCTATAGCTGAGAAATCTGGTTCAGGTGACGGTCCATTCCTGAGAGAGAGTATACCAGCATTAACTTTCAAAGTGTCTGCAGGCCTAATAAACTCATCAGAACTGCTGTCCGACTCTGAAAGATCCACTTTGCTAGTGATTTGAAGGCTGCTGTCTTTTGATGAGAGATCTGGTTTAGTTTCATCCGACTCTGAATGTTTAGCGCTGTTAACCTTCCGAGGTCTTTTGCTGGAGGGAACATCTGCCTTCGAGTCCTCTACAGCAGCTGGGGACGTTGCCCTCCTTCTACTCCTGGTGCTTCTAAGCTGAAGTTTGGACATCTGAAATGATAAAACAAAAAATAACTGCCTTGATAACAAACAAGAAGGTGCAGAGATATAGAACAACACAGTTTTCCATTAGGCTATTCCAATACAGGGTTTGATTTATGGTAGGAAATGTAATGTAATGTAATGTAAAATTAAATAAGAAGACGTTTCACAGAGGAATGATATTTATATACCAACATGATGTACATTGTCGGCAATGATCAAGGTTTGTACATCAACTGCCTCAGGACAGTGGAATCAATTCATGATAGAGAAATGTCGTTCAAAATTGTATTAAATTCATTCAAAATTTAAAGCTTTACACAATAATTAGTGTAATTTAATCATGCTGTTTGCTAACCTTGAGTCACGCTGCTGATTGCACTCTTGACTCGGACGAACAAGTTAATTAGGGTTCCAACTGCTAAATGATGGCAATGTCATCTCACGCGTCTTCCTAAAAATAGCAGTAGTAAGACATGCCAAGCTGTACACTAAATGGACTTAACGTTTGCTGTCTCCACAAGCGCCCAAACAAAGCATCAATGGTTTCCCGCACCGGGCTATGAGGTAATCGGTGTTGTTGTTGTTGTTGTTGTTTTCATTATTGGCAGGTCGAAGCCCTGCAAATAACAATATTACCCTTCCCCTTTCCCCTTCCCCCTCCCCCGTATCTTCCAAAGTTTTCCGAACTCGACGAAAATCGATACGAAACTGCGTCGTCCGATTCTAGATCTCTCGCTTTGTCTAGGTGCATCATTTTATATGCAAAGTTGCAAATGATGTGTTAGAGTGCAACAACAAACCTCTTGTATTTGTTTCTCCCAGTATCCCTATCTAGTGTGATGTCATGAAATTGCTCATAACTTTTTCGATCATCTGTGGAGTGTTTCCATATTTCTCTGGGTCAAAGCTTGCATTTATGATTGCTGACTAATCGGGCTGAATGGCGAGGCCTTCACCTGTCAACATGAACAGCATAAGCAAAAACAGGCCCAGTATGCGGGTCTGGGTCAAACCAAGTGCTACATTTCCCCCGTTCGCTCAGCCGATGGTCGTCAGCTACTTTAGCCTGGACCAAGACCGCCGGTTTACACCTGACACCTCCCAGCTGCGATACATGTACTTGCCTCGAGAAGCAGAGGATGTCGGCTGGGACTTAAATCATGGCCTGTCCAAAGTGCAGCGCTCGGATCACGCCAAAAGCATTGAGAGGATTGACAATTTGCTACGAGGGATACTTGCCAGTGGCGTGTCTGTCTCACAGTAAGTGTCAGTTGCGAAGTTCCTCAGTTGCGCCTCACAAATTTTAAAGTGGTATTGGCGCACTTGATCGTTAAACCTTCTAGCTTATTGACAAAAATTGTTATTTATGTAAAACTTTCATGAATTGTATTTTCCTTATATGTAAATGTATATGTATATGTCTAAACTAGCTGTTGGCCATATGGAAGCCATCAATGTCATTTTGGTGTTTTGGCGTGAGTTTTTAATCTGTGCTTTTTAATGCAGAGAAGTCGCATCCTTCATGTGCTTACGCGGCCTGCTAACCCGAATTATGACGACTCCCTATGAACAAAATCAAGGCTGGGAGATTCTAGTTAGTAGATTTAGAGGTGTTCTTTTCATGTGTGCACAAGAGACACCTGAGCAAAGACGTGAAAGAATGGGTGCAACTGAAAATCAAAAGCGTTTCTCGTCATGGGGATTTAAGTTTGAACAATATATTACAACAGGTGAGTTTAATTTTTAAATAAACTTCTATTAATCTTTCTAAAAAAAAAAAATGTTTATTTTGTCTTACTAATTTATCTATTCAATTACTTTTTTGTTTAGATCAACCTGGTTGTCCTCCTGAAACTGAAACACCAGTCAAAGAAGGAGAAGAATTTTGTTGTTTGTTTCGCACAAAACTTAGTGATCGAAGGCTTTTGTATGGAGCAGAAATGGATGCAGTAACATGTGATGTACCTCTTGAAGACTGTTTAGAAGATCTCATGCTAGCAGAATTTGTAGAATTAAAAACTAGCAGGAAGCTTACATGTGTTCGTCAGGAACGAAACTTTAAAAGGTAAACCTTTAATATATTTGTCATTTCTATTTGTTCTGCTCATTTTACTATTGCTTCCTCGTACTAACTTTTCTCTATCTGTTACAGATTTAAACTATTGAATTGGTGGGCTCAAAATTTCCTTGTAAATGTTGCACATATTATCTGTGGATTCAGAGATGATCGTGGGATTGTTGAAAATCTGGCATTTTACAAAGTGGAAGATATTCCCAAAATGGCCAAGGCATGTACTTTATCAGTTCATATCAAATTACATGTTATTTATTTATTATGTTTTCACTTGCTAATTCATAAATTTCTGTTTTAGGACTTGTGGGTACCTGCAGTTTGTATGACTTTTCTGGACCAGTTCTTGAATTTTGTTGGAAGAACTGTTTGGGATTGTCCTCACAGCAATGATCCTAATACTGTGTGGCGGTTCCGTTGGGAGCCAGGTGTTCACTACGTTACTGGAGATGTGATACCAGGCTCATCACAATTCTCTTTCCTGCCTGACTGGTTCTTGTCTTCAGTGGTAGCAAGGGAAAACCACCCTCTCCAGTTTTGCATCAGGGTATTTTCAAGCAAACACGGGAAACAAAATCATGAAGACCAGCGTTCTCACACTGCTGCAATATTTGCTATGACTAAAGACATTTCTGTGCAGCGTACCAGTGGAAAACGACCTCCAAGTCCAAGATCTATTATGTTGTTACAGAAAGGAATTACGCCATCTGAAAATCCTAGTGCCAATTCTTCAGAGCAGTCAAGTGTCTCATCTCCATCTTCCTCAAATACAAAACAAGTGGCGACAGCTTCACCCAAAAACCAACCAAACTCTTCTGCTGAAAGTGAACAAGCATCAATTTCTCATCCGACAAAGCCCAACCATTCCCAGAATGTGAATGGCCCACTGAAAACTCCTTCTAGAAGACATAGACGGAGAGCAAGACACCATGCTAATCAAATGTATCGGAATACTCATCATCAGAAGCAAACTGGGAATAGTGATAGCTCCTCATTCCAATTATCAAGTCGACACAAAAACCATCCTCCATCACAACCAAGAATTGAGAAGAAAGCTGAGCTCAACAATATCACTGATGTAGCCCCAACCCCAACTGTCAAAGATACACCTAGCTTGATAGCTGTGCAAACGTCTCCTGATGAATTTGGTGTTTCATCTGAACCCAATTCATTCTCCCCTGAAGACTTGCCTCCCACTGGTCTCTCTCACACAGAAGAAGTCTATACCGCTGTGTATGATTCCTTGGAGAGTAGTTCTTTTCTCATGCCTCAGCCACCTGAAGAACACTCTCCATCAAATTCTGCAGATCACTACACATCACAATCATATTTAGAATCTTCACCATCTGATGAAGCTTATGCCCAACAGTCTCTCTTGCCTGTGTCTCTTTCTTCATCCTCCCTCTTACCTGATTGTTACTCTTCACAGGACTACTCTGCCTGTGATGAGTTGCCTCAAGCTACTTATTTGGTGTCATCTGATGCTGAGTACTTGAATCAGGAAGTGTACATGCAATCTTCAGACCCCGATGACCATAATATGGAAAGATCATACTTATCATCTCCTAGTGCGGTGGAATATATCAACCAGCCATCCTTCTTGCCGATTACATCAGAGGAACTTAGTGTGACTGAGGTTTTCCTGAATGAAACAACTGGTGATCTGCCTCCATCCTCACTTCTCTCCCCAGTAACTTCGATCACGCAGGCATTCCTTGGATCTAGCACTGATATTTCATCAGAAGATATTCAAACTGCTGAGGGTTCACTGACAACCATTAATCAACTATCAACATCCCCATATTTGCCCTCATCTTCTGTCAACCACTTAACCTTACAAATGTAAATAATTTGTTGCAGTTTAAAAAGAGGCAAAGGAAAAGTATTACACTTTAATCTTGCTTGGCATGTCCTTGCTGGATTTGGCTATCTAGTCATGTAAAATATTAAAGTGTCTAGTAAAATTTATTTTCAAATTTTTTATGCCCCATGGCATATGTAAGATTCTTTACTCAAGGGATACTTCTCATATATTGTTGTACCTGATAATTCATGTAAACTTTTGTTCTTACCTATTTTCACTTATACTGTATTTCAAAATTTTCTGATCTACAAATTGTACTGTGTACTTTTTCTAGTGTTCTATAAATCAAACTTTGAGTTTTGTTGGAGACAAAAATATTTCTAGTTAAGTACTGACTAGTTTGTTAGTGTGGTGTACAAACTGGTGTTAAGCGTATGATGTGTCTTTTCCAATAATTATGCACTGACGTTTAACACTACATGTCTTAGTGCTTAACAACTTATACATTATGTTATGCATGCTATAGAGATTTCCCTTTTTTAAAAAAAGGCCAAAAATTTTGCCAACACATGAAAGACATAACAATCATCAGGTAAGCTTCTTTTCTTGTGAATGTAATTTGTTTTTTACTATTGTATGTTGTTGAGGCAGAAAAACATAATTTGTATGTTTCTAGACCTTAAAATGCAAATTTTCACAAGCTTGGTTTGTTGCATAACAATGCTGCAGTGAGTATTTTGACGGAATGGACTCCTTCAGTACAACTTGTCTGTGCGGTGGCTCCAAAAACAGTTGGATGATTGTAGCATTTCAGAAATCTAATTCTTTTCTTACTGTAGTGTATTGTTAATTGTTTGTTATTACATCTGTCATGGATTTATTCTAATGTTTCTCAAGCAAGTTCATTCTTTTGAATTTGGCTCTGACAGAGTCACTCTGTTTCAATGTTTGTAGAGCTTTTAAAGAATTGACGTACAAATAATCTTTCCAGACTTAAATATTGTACACCTATTGTCTGAAGTATCTATATTATAGATATTGTACAGTAAAATCCATTTATGATCAAGTTCCAATATTTTAGTGCTTGACAGATTTTCTCTTTGGTTGTGCACATGTCATAGAGTTGAATTACCAATCTCAATCTCGCATTGCCTTAAATTGAAAGTTAACATTAAAATCACAGTGTACATACTGATCTGGTACATGGACTTTAGAACAAGCTATAGATTTTCCTATGCCCGGTCTTGCTTGGCTTAGACATCACATTATTGGATGATCTCTAATAGCTCCCTAGAAGTCCTCCAGTCTGTTGTCTGTAGACTAATACAGTAGCTAACAAACTAATTGTGTTTGTATTTGAGCACATTTTAAACATTACCTGACTTTTTCTTTTGTACAAATATTGATATGTAATTAAAATGAAAAGCCTACTATAAGATATACCTATCTGTTCTTTTAAAAAAGATAAAAATAATTGGAAGACTTTGAGGGAAAGATTATATGATATTGTATTTTGATATTGAGTTATATTCGCTGTAAGCTTGTACAGTATTTGGTGTTTAAATTTAGTGTGAGATCTTGATCCTAGCAGGCATGGTTGCCTCAGTTTTCTCACGACCGCAGTTTCTGTTTTATTAATCGGTTAGAAATCTAATCTAATCTTTGACAATTCATTTACTTGATTTGAACCTTTTTTTTTTTCCTTTTTTATTGTCATTTTAAAATACATACTGAGTAAAGCTCTATTGTGCTAACACCAGTATCTGAAGTTGCCAAAAGTCGTTGGTACCTTTTAATGATTGACAGTCAAATCAATCTAATCAAGTGGTGATTAAGTTACACTGTTCTGTTTGATAAGATTACCTTTTCTGAAAGTCTGAAGGTGTAATGCAAGTGTTGTGACAGTCAATTTGATTTAAATGATTGCATAAATCATCACATTCTTAGTTTGTATCGATTTTGTTTTAAATAACTTCTTGCTTAGTTCTCTGTCAATAGGTGTCTGTGTTAGATCTAGATCTCAAATGTTCAATGTTTTAAGTTGTACTCTGTGATAAAAATGTTGCTATTTTCTTTTAGAGTAATTTTGACTATAAGTTATATTTATGCTGAAGGTGATCAATAGCATTCAATTCCATTCCAACAAAGTTTATCTGTGTGGAGTTTTGAGGATAGATGAAGGACTTGTTAGTAAATTACCTAAGCTGTCCTAAGCGTCCTCTCATTGCCTCAAGATTTATGTGCAATTCAGGTATCTAAAGTTCAGAGGTGGATACGTTGAGTGGTGTGTGAGAAATATAACTAGATGTACATATATATATTGGTATATTGCCACAGGAAGCTCCTTAGTCTCCTCAAAAGAGAATTCTATTTATGTAATTGTCTGAAAATAGCGCTGTCTGTGTTAAATATAGGTGGATGTAAACTTTCTCATTTTTATCCCCAAGTAATGTATTTAGGATATAGAGAATATCATTAGGCCTGTGTCCATAAGTTCACTATTTCAATTTGTTTCTGGCTTTTTTTGATTTTTATTTGAGTCTTTGACAGGTTTCACATTGTTTCACTCTGTTCAAGATCTGTCTACTCTCATTGGACTTGCCCACAGTTATTTCTTTCCCTTTTGTTAAATCTTTTTTAAGGTCTTCGTCATTAAAAACCCTACTTTCAGTGATGATGAGTGGTTCCTGTAGATTTTCTGAGATAATTACCAAACGTGTGCTGGTAGCAATAATTATTCCGCTCTCTTCATACACTTTCAAAGTATCCACATCAAATTTTCTGCATGTGGTTATTTCTTCTGCCCTGTGTGTTAAAAAGCGGTGTAATAAAGACATGAAATAATTTACAATATTTTTCATTTTTTGTTTCCCAATTTCTTCAATTCTGGAGCAAGAGACTGGAGAGAAACAGTGGTCGCTATTTTCTGTGTTTTGCTCTGAAAGATGTCACTTCCTGCTTTAAAGAGCAAGAGAGAGAGAGAGAGAGAGAGAGAGAGAGAAGGGAAGACCTCTTTTCATCAGTATGAAAAATTAAGGGACTAAACGCAATATCGATGTGTATATGTGACTACATCATGGCATGTTGATGTCGTCTGGTGTTTAGGTTAGAAAATGTCTGGGTACTACAACACCGCATATTTTAATTTAGCATTTTAAATTAGAACTGCCACAAGAATGTTTGCCACCAAAAAGCTCGCAATGTCAGTTTGCCATAGAACCGTGTTTGTCAGCTTCCGTTCTATGTCAATAATTTCCGGTCCGAAAGAAAAGCATTTTGCATCTTGTGTGCATTACAGTCAAGTTCGTGGAAAGAGAAAGAATTCATTCAATTCCCTATTTGAATCAGAGCCGAGCAAAGGGATTGTGGGAGTGACTTCTTCAGAGAGGAAGAACACTAAGAAGTTAACCCCCCGAGATATTACCACAATTCTGACAGACTTTATTAGAAAGCCTGAGATTCGAAATCTAGCTACAGAGAAAGGATTAAATGGTGAGGACCTACTTGATGGTATTTAATTTAAGGATCTGTTACTTTCTGCGGTAGCTGGATGTGTTTTAATGTATATAAAAGGTTTGGGGTGGAAACTGCAATTAATTTGACCTTAATCTTTCAGCTCAGCAACTAAGAACAGCATTTGTTCGTTTCCGTTCATTCTGCTTGAATGGAGAAGAGCTTCCTGTAGAGTTAGAAATTGTCCTTAATGACATTCTTGTGGGAGCTGGTCACCCTGATGACTTGTTTGGCCAGTTTATGGATTTCGCAATGAAAATGTATCCACACTTACTTTGTAGGGAGGAACTCTCTCGAATTTGTGACTTGCGAGACCCAGCTGCCTGGTACGTTAGTAAACTAATCTAATCTAAAAATGACCATGTTTTATAGAAGCCTTAAAAGTGTGCCTCTTAAATAAAATATAGTTGGAAGCTCTATGGTTCTCGCCTTAACTTCAGCCTTGAAATCTCAATTATTCTTTCTCATTCAAACAAAAAAAAATAGGTATCCCCAAGCAAGATCACTTGGAAGGAAAATAATTTTTCATGCTGGTCCAACTAATAGTGGCAAAACCTACCATGCTCTTGAAAAATTCATGAAGGCTAAATCTAGTGTATATTGCGGGCCTTTAAAAATGCTTGCAAGTGAAGTGTTTCAAAAAATGAGAGATAAGGTAGTGTACCCAAACCAAATTATTCTTTCTTTCTTTCCTTGTTTTGTTTTTTTGTTTGGCTGTTCTGGAACGCCAATCATCTCTATATTTTTACTTTTTACCGATCCTCAGGACATTGAATGTGATTTGGCCACAGGGGATGACAGAATTTATAGCAACCCCAGTGGTGAGCGTAGCTCCCGTCTCTCATGTACAGTAGAAATGGCTCCTCTACAAGAAAACTGTATGTTTTGGTTTCAAGTAGCAAGTACTTGAAAAATTATTTGATTAAAACCCAAGTTCCTGATTGATTTATTGTTACAGTTGATGTAGCAGTTATTGACGAGATTCAGTTACTGCAGGATAATCAACGAGGATGGGCTTGGTCCAGAGCTTTATTGGGTATTGCGGCCAAGGAAGTGCATGTTTGTGGAGAGGCGGCTGCAATCCCTCTAGTTAAAAATCTGTTAGCGACTGCTGGTGAGACAGTAGAGGTAAGTGTTACTAGTCTTAAAGTTGGTGTACAATTAGAAATGGACACTGAAAATACCTGAATATTTTCCCTACAGGTTCATGAATACAAGAGACTTACCGGCTTAAAAGTTGAGGATTCAGCTCTAATATCACTCCAAAATGTAATGCCTGGTGATTGTCTCGTTTGTTTTAGCAAAAGAGATCTTTATACGGTAATTACGTTTCATGTGCATTTAATCCATCAAACTTGAGAATCTACTGAATTTATTTTATATAACATTGTCATTGACTTTTTCTAATATCTACTGTTTGTCATTTCTTCCAGGTCACAAAGAATTTAGAAAATTTAGGCCACAGAGTTGCTGTCATTTATGGATCATTACCCCCAGGGGCAAAACTCATCCAATGTCAGAAATTTAATGATGAGAATGATGAGTGCAATGTAATGGTTGCTACAGATGCAATAGGAATGGGACTAAATTTGTAAGTTTTTTTTTGTTTTTGTTTTTGTAGCATTAATTTTGTCATTTAATTTTTAGTTATCTTTTTATGAATGTACTCTATTGCTTATCTTTAGAAACATTCGAAGAATTATTTTTGTATCTCTCAAAAAAGTGGAAATAAATTCTGATGGTAAGAGATCATTGGAACCTTTATCAGTCTCCCAGGCTCTCCAGATTGCTGGCCGAGCCGGTAGATATGGAACACAATATGAAGAGGTAAGTGATTAACTATCTCATGATCTTGGTTGGGACAGCAATTAGATAACTGTTTTTTGCAGGGGAATGTAACAACATTAAATGCACGAGACTTGAGGACTCTCAAGTCAATGCTCTCATCTTTACCACAACCAGCAGAAAAGGCTGGTTTGTACCCTACGGCTGAACAAATTGAAATGTTTTCATATCATCTTCCAGATAGTTCTCTACAATCAATCCTTGTTCGTATTAATCATTGAGTGTAAATATTTTTCCTGTCAATTTTTGTGCAAGAGGTGCAGAGGTGTTTTAACATTGAGTAATTTATTTCAAGGAAATATTTACTGATCTATGCCAAATGGATGATTCATTATACTTTATGTGTAACATTGAATCATTCATGTACCTGGCTGAAAAAATAGACTCAATTCCACTTCCCCTCAGAGCACGGTATGTGTTTTGTTGCTCACCAGTAAATATCAAAGACAATATTGTCGTAACAATTTTGCTCAGGGTAAGCAAAAATTTTCTAAATTACACAAATACTTCTTGTTCTACTGTATAAAGTTGAATTTTCATAGGATATTCTGCTCACTTCAACAGATGGCTCGTCATTTCAGTAAAAATAAGATAATGGATGCTAATTGGCTCACAAAGCAGATGCAGTGGCCTCCGCAAGTGCCTAACAACATAGCAGATATGTCTCAGTTAGAATCACTACATGATGTTTTTGATTTGTATCTATGGTTGAGGTAAGTTTTGCTTTCAAACAAATAAGATACAATTTCTCACACACATGTGTATCAAAGTGGTTGCTCTGTGCCTCTTTTTTACAGCCTTCGTTTTACTGATCAATTTCAAGAGACTGATAACGTGAGACAAATGAAAAAACTTCTAGATAGTGTGATAGTTGAAGGGTTGGCTCATTTGTCCCGACTAATGTCAAATGATGGAGACAATGAAGAAAGCATGGTGTCTAAAGTACCAAAAGTGTCAAAAGGTTAACAAAAAAAACCCTGATAGTAAAACATAGTTCAGGTTCTCCATGTCCTGCAAGAAAATTATTATTACCTCTGTATTTCCTAGGTTCTTTTGCTGACAATCTTATTCAATCTGGGACTATTTCACCTGAAGTTCTTGATAGATTAAAATCTGAGTGGAAGAAGGTAAATATAAACTTGATTTCAATTATACGACCATTGTCTACTTTTGGCATTAACAAATCCCTTTTTTAAATTTGCAGGAACAAACAAAATCTGATAAAGATACCAAGATAGAATAAGCCAAATTTAAAAATTAATTGTAATGAAGTCTAATTTTGCCAAATGACTGATTTTATTTACCACCTCGAACCAGCATACCAGTTTGTGATATCTTGGATAGGAAAATTACAAAGACATTTTCAGAGGGATGTCTTGTTCACTGTTAGGAAAATCAATATACTGTGAGTAGTTGATTTTATGTTTAATACCATAATTAAAATCATTGTACAAAGAGATATTCTTAACTTCTATACCAAAACTTTAAGCAATTTGTAACACCTTCTACAAAGTCAAAGTCTCTTAAAATTCGCAAATTCAGTGTTTCAGTATATTGTCACAAAAACTAAATAATGACAAAGGCAAATAGTGAAAGGCAACTTGTTACAGTGAAATGTGAATAAGGGCACAAATGATAAATATAACTCATCCACAGAGGGCTTCAATAAATAACTCACATGTGTCACCATCAGACATAATTAATAACTACGCTCTCCTTCAATAGACAAAAAAAAAAACAACAAATAGTACAAAAATTAAGAGCTTGAATTTTTACAACATAATGTATTTGGAAATAGTTCTGCCAGATGATTCATAACAAGAGAAATTACTCCATTCATCTTAAATAATACAAAATAAACTAAAGTTGTCACCGGGCACATGATCACTTCATAGACACCTATTTTTTTTCAGAATTAAAATAGTTTGATTTCCATTAACTCATATGGAACACACCAAAGTAAAAAAAAAGGCTCAATAGGCAGGCAGATTACAATAATTCAAATATAAACTTTTTTAAAAATTGTAAATTTTCATATACTTTGGAAGCGCAACAGGTTCAATAGACAGTTGTGAAAACTAGGCAACAAAAGCTGACTTGAGTGAGGTTTCATGTTTCAGAAGTGTCTATATGCAACCTTCATTTAAAAACTGACCATGAATCATAACACCTCAATAGTGTTCAAGATTAATTCTCACTCCAGAAAAATTTACATGATCCTGCATCTTTCTTCTCCACTTGGATCACCCTGAAAGAATTTCAAAAATTAAACAGTGCGGTGATTTAGTTAGAGAAAAAGTAGGCCAAGCAATTTGTTCAGAATGTTACTTACCTGTGGGTATAACTCGTCATCACCTGACCGGCTGTGGCCAGCACCAGTAACGTAACCTTGTGTTTGTCTAATTCGGGACTTGGCCACAAATTTAAGTTTATTGGTCATTGTTGCCATTTCCTGTAGAAAAACAATAAAATTTGAAAATTGACAAATAAATAAGATGTGGCTACCAATATAGTTTGAATGAAAGAGGGTTAGTACCTTTCCGGCATTATTGAGAAGTTGAGTGGTCATGTCATTGCCAGTGGTCCACTTCTGAGATTTCATGACAAGGTTGAAAGGAGGCTCATGTGTTTCCCCTTGGTCTGAAGACCAAACAGTCAGACCTGTTCCACCTTCCAGCTTCACAGTGCGGTGGAAACGATACACAGTTTCTTGTCCATTAGCTTTGCGCACAAGTTGCCAATTTCCCAAGCTGACCTCCTAAAATAACAATGTGTGGCAAATACCAGAAAATTCAGAAAGTAATTTTTTTTTTAAATAAATCAAAAAGGTGTCACTTTTAAAATTGTTACCTTATTACTCTTGTTGTTCAGCTTGATGAAGCGTCCTTGGGGGTCAGCTTCAGACACTTCAATCTCTCCGGTGCATGACTTCGTTGTTTCCACATCAAGAGATTCACTCGAGTCTTCCATCAGAGTCCGCTTGCGCTTGCCTCCTCCAATGCCGAATCCCGTGCGAGGAGTGCCGGAGGCACTGCCGGACCCACCAACCTGACTGATATTCAATCTCTCTTCCTCAGATTCCAGAAGCTTACGGTACGCAGCAATCTCCATATCAAGGGCGACCTTGATGTCAAGGAGGTCCTGGTACTCCTGAAGTTGCCGAGAGATTTCATCCCTCAGATTGTTAAGTTCCAGTTCAACAGCAGTCAGCTCTTCTCTATGCCGCTCTCTTTCAGCTGAAATTCTCCTACGCTCACCGTCCAACATCTTTTCCAGCTCAGCAACACGAGACTGCAACAAACAGCAAATTTAAAAATTTAAGGATATTGACATCAATAAAAAAGGAAGGGTCACAGTTGTTTAGGTGCAGGAAACTTACATTAGCACCTGCTACAGTAGATTCCAACTCTGCAATTCGTGAGGACAATGAGTCAGAGAGAGTGCGAGACTGTCTCAGTTCATCCAGCAGTGAAGAAGCAACACCAGAATTCTTCTGAGATTGGGCTTGCAAATTCTTCAACTGAAAACACAAACCATGCGGTTAGTTCTATAATATGAGCGAGAATAATATAGGTATGTTCTAACACATGCTTGCATGATAAAATGCTTATGAATATTACTTGTGCTGTACAATCCCCACCCAAATATTTGTGCCTTATCCCAAGACTATCAACAACTTTTTGAAAACAAATTTAGTTGGTGCAAGATTTACTGATAAGTAACAGAACTGCTACTTCCAAAAATATTAAAACCATGCATTGAAAGTTCTTGAATAGACAACACAATTTTTCTCAACGCAAGTACCTTGGTCTCATACAAGTATTCAATTTCCATCCGATTCGACTGCATTTGTTCTTCATACTGATCCCTCAGCTCTGACAAGCTCTGCTGAAGTCTTGTCTCATATTCCTGAGAGAGTCTTCCATCTATCTCACTGATTTCAACCGAACGCTTTGTTCTTGTTTCTTTCAATTGTTTGTCATGAACCTGTACAGAAGAAAAAAGGAAGGTAAAGAAAATATCTTGAAAAACATCTGTAAAGCCAACATATAAACATAAGAGTACTTACAGCTTCCTTGAACTCAAAGTCTTCCTTGAGACTTTGTAGTCTGTTCTCCATATCTACTCTCAAGAGAGTTTCCTCAGCCAAATTTTTGCGCATCTCATCAAGCTGCTTGGCCAATTTATCAGCTTCCTGTAAGTGGATTGAATATAATAAATGTTAGCTTATCTAAACTTGATATTTGAGGAACATTTGCAGATGTAACATGAGGTTCAGGCAGTCTTAATGTTAGTTACCTTGACATCATCAAGTGCTTTCTTTTTCTCAACAAGAGCCTGATTGTATTTGATGGTGATATCATTGAATCTTGATTCATACAGATTGGCATTACGTTCTGCTACACCAAGGTCCTTCTTTGCTTTCTCCAGCCTAAAGTTTAATGAAAAAAGAAAAGCAAAGAATTGATAAAATGTCATTGGTTCAATTTTAATAGAAAAATGAACTTGCAGTTTTGACATACAACTTCAAAAATCTTATGTTGGGAGGTGGCATAAACAGTGAGATGAGACTGTGTGTGAGTGTGTGTGTGGGGGGGGGGGGGCGCTTTACGAATACCCGACCGAAATTGCTCATTCATCGTACACTTCCTTATGAATATTTGATGGGGCAGCGGCATTCCAGTAGCCACCACACCGACGGGGACTGTCACCTGTTGAGCTGTTCACCCGGGGCAACAAGTGTGTGGCTCAGAGGCTCAGCCTCCCGACCTTGTCACGGGTGTCACGTCACGCTCACGACCCGTGGCAAGCACAAACCGTACTTTTTCCCCTCTGGCGACCAGCACCATGTTTCTCTCCTCGTCCACGTCGTTCTACCTCCAAGGACTCTACCAAGGATCCGCGCGGGAGCGCCAGGGAAAGAGGAGAGGGGAGGGGGTGGGGGTCTGGCCCAAACCACACACTTTAAGGCTCTAGGATAATATCTAGCCCGGAAAAAAGAGGGGGGGGGTTAAGGGAGAGGGGAAGGGAGAATCATCCCCGCCAGTCCAAAAACAAGACAGGACAGTTTTTTTTACCTCCGTTTAGAGAGGCGTAACCGCCAGCTAAAGCCGAACCCGCAACCAAAATTTTGAACCGCCCCGCCGTTCGGTTCTGCCGATGGCACGTTTCATCCCTTTGGCGTTCTTTTTAGGTAGGAGCAGGTAAGAGAGCATATCACATGCTTCCTGGGAAGAGTAGAGTGTGTGGAATGTTAAGGTGTGTATCATCTTCGGGAGTTGTCTTATCGCAAAGGTGGAGGCACGCGGGGAAGGAAGGAGGTGACAGAGGGAGGAGGAGGAGGAGGGGGTGGGCGGGACACTGACAAACACCGTGACCGACCTAGAGGGGTAGATTAAGGGGCAGAGGGGTAGATAGGGACAGGACACAGGAGCGGGGCCAAGAGCAAGTCCCTGGCTGGACACGGGCTACCCAGCCAATAAGCAAAGGCTACCGACACCGACCTCGAGGTGGACCGGACAGGGTCCACAAAACACCTGCCGGCCGCCGGGCCCCGCGAGTTCGGCAGCCTTGCTCGTGCCCGGCGCGCCGGCCGGGGCCGGCCACGCGGCCCGCCTCCGCACACCAGACGACTCTGGGCACGTTCACAAGCCCACACGCGCGGCGGCGAAGTACCTCCTCCTCCCCCACCACCACCAGCTTCACCTCGCCCAGGAAGGCGCCGTCCC